GCTTTTTTCTTTTTGCTTATGTGGTGCTGAGGAATCGAACCCAGGGCCTCAGGCATGCAAGGCAAGCACTCTACCATTGAGCCACCTTCCCAGCCCATCTTGTGATTTTTGCCTGGGGCTGGCCTCGGTCTGCAATCCTACTTATGGCCTTCCACATAGTTGGGACCACAGTCCTGCACCATCATGCCTAGCTTATTGAGATAGAATCTTGCTTTTTCCCTAGGCTGGCCTTGAACAATGATCCTCCTGATCTTTACCCTGCAAATATCTGGGTTTATAGTTGTGAACCTCTGTATCTGGTGATTCATTCCATTTTACAGATGAAGATATTGAGGCCATGGAGGAGACAGAAGGGAGAATCCTTATGAAAGCACAGGCTGGGAAATGCTTTGAAAATGGGCTGCCTGGGGGTGCCATTGTCTTTGCATGCCTCAATCAGAACATTTGAAATTCTGGAAATTACTGGGTTGTTTGCTTTCTCATCAGAGGGTAAACTATTTGAGAACAGGACCTGTATTTTACTCATCTTTGTATTCCTCCTCCCTTTGCCAATACTATCATAAATAATCAATAATTTTACTTCTAGAGTTATTCACAACTCAATTTCACACAAGATTTTTGGCAGCAGTGAAATCGATCTTTTTTTTTTTTTTTTGGTCCGGTCGTGGAGCCTGAACTCTGGGCCTGGGCGCTGTCCCTCAGCTCTTCAGCTCAAGGCTAGCGCTCTACCACTTGAGCCACAGCGCCACTTTCGGCTTTTTTGTTTTTGCTTATGTGGTGCTGAGGAATCGAACCCAGGGCCTCAGGCATGCAAGGCAAGCGCTTTAACCACTGAGCCATCTTCCCAGCCCCTGAAATCGATCTTTGTTGCAGATTTGTGAAAGAGAACATATTTAAAATGGAGAAGGACTTCTAAAAACCACCACTGAGAAGTTTGAGCAAATGATGTATAAGGAAAGCCATAAATCCAGTCTTCCGGTGGTCATGTGGACAGAAGCTAATTGAGTCCACTGTACTAAATGCTTCTTCCTGTGTAGTCCCTTGCTGTGTGACAGATTCCCCCACAGCACAGCAGGGCAAGGAGTAAGGATGCAGCCTCCCCGCCCCTCCTGTCACACACAGTACCCACCATAGCTTTCACAAATGAGCTCCTTGTACTTCCTGCCAGAGTTTGCGATAATCTGAAGGAGTTTGATGGATTCCTTCTTGTCCTCTTCCTTGATCTTCTCCAACCCAAGGATTTCCAAGAGTGTTAGGGCACCTCCAACCTCAAGAAATTCTACTAGGTACCGGTTGCTGTGTATGGAGGGGTATGGGGAAGAGTTAATAAAACCTGTCAGGTTGCTTGCCCCTGATCTTCAAAGGGTTCCAAGGTTCAACTTTGCCTCCTATCAAAGCAATGTCCATAGGAAAGTGATATAAAGGAGTACTGGATTCGTGTGTGTGTGTGTGTGTGTGTGTGTGTGTGCCAGTATTGGGGCTGGAACTCAAGGCCTTGCAACTCTTGCTTTTGTTTTGTTTTATTGTTGGTCCTGTGGCTTGAACTCAGAGCCTGGGTGCTGTCCCTGAGCAATTTTGCTCAAGGCTAGCAGTCTACCAATTTGAGCCACAGCTTCACTTGCAGTTTTCTGGTGGAGATAAGTGTCTCACAGACTTTCCTGCTTGGGCTGTCTTTGAACCTCAATCTTCAGATCTCAGCCTCCTGAGTGGTTAGGATTGTAGTTGTGAGCCACCAGTGCTTGGCTTTGCCTGGCCTTTTTGCTAAAGGCTGGTGATCTACCACTTGGGCCACATCTTTACTTCCAACTTTTTGCTGGTTAACTAATGTCTCACAGATTTGTCTGCTTGGCCTGGCTTTGAACCATAATCCTCAGATCTCAGTCTCCTGAGTAGTTAGGATTACAGGCATGAGCCACCAGCCCCTGGCTCTGAATTTTTTTTTTTTTTTTTTGTTGGCCATGGGGCCTGAACTCAGGGCATGAGCATTTGGTCCTGAGCTCTTTATGCTCAAAACTGGCACTCTACCACTCTGAGCTACAGTACCACTTCTGGTTTCCTGGTGGTGAATTGGAGATAAGAGTCTCACAGACTTTCTTGCTGGGCTGGCTTTGAACCACAATCCTCAGATCTCAGCCTCCTGAGTGGTTAGGATTGTAGTTGTGAGCCACCAGTGCTTGGCTTTGCCTGGCCTTTTTGCTAAAGGCTGGTGATCTACCACTTGGGCCACATCTTTACTTCCAACTTTTTGCTGGTTAACTAATGTCTCACAGATTTGTCTGCTTGGCCTGGCTTTGAACCATAATCCTCAGATCTCAGTCTCCTGAGTAGTTAGGATTACAGGCATGAGCCACCAGCCCCTGGCTCTGAATTTTTTTTTTTTTTTTTGTTGGCCATGGGGCCTGAACTCAGGGCATGAGCATTTGGTCCTGAGCTCTTTATGCTCAAAACTGGCACTCTACCACTCTGAGCTACAGTACCACTTCTGGTTTCCTGGTGGTGAATTGGAGATAAGAGTTTCATGGACTTTCCTGCACAGGCTGGCTTTGAACCTTGATCCTGAGATCTCAGCCTTCTGAGTAGGATTCAGGTGTGAGCCAGGGCACTCAGCTGAAATTCTTTTCAGCATTTCCATTATCTGGGCTTTTCAGGGAAGTGAGACAATAATTATCCTTTCTCTGAGTCCAAATGTGAATTGAGTGTCTGCAATTCTCAGTTAGAGTGCTGACTAGTAAATGACCAATGGAGAACAGAGGTGGAGGAGAATGCAGCAGGGGAACACCACCACTGGGCCCATCTCAAGGGTTACCATTCCCTTCCTGATACCTAGAATTCCTGGTCCCCTGTAGTCTGAGTGCTGTGGACACCACAAGCCTGATACGCTATTGAGCCAGGATTCACTTCTGCAACACAACTCACCTGCTCACAGCTGACAAGAAGATGCCAATGGACCTCAGAATCTTTTCTAAGCACAAGCCAGTCATGTAGCTGGCCAACAAGTTAAAGAACACTTTCTGTGATTGTTTTCATATAGGAGCCTGATCTTGTGCCTAATCCCTGGATCCTGGATCCTACCAAGGGCCTAGGTTGACAAAGAAGCTGAATTTGTATCCTTTGCCAAGAGGATGCAGGATGGGAAGAGAGGGACACTGGCGTGTTGCTTGTTGTCTAAGAAGTTCCCCCAGTGTAGTTTGGCCACCTTGGCTGTGACTGTTTGCTAGAAAGTGAGGAAGGCTAAATGGAGAGCGCTGAGGATTGTCTAATATATAATGATTGCATCCATGAGTCTTAGCATACTTCATTTATTTTGTGTGTGTATGTGTGTGTGTGTGTCAATCCTCGACTTTGTGTGTGTGTGCTGTTCCTGAGGCTTGAACTCAGGACCTGGGTATTGTCCCTGAGCTTTTTTACTCCAGGATAGTGGTCTACCACTTGAGTCACAACCCCACTTCTATCTTTTTTGATGGTTAATTGGAGGTAAGAGTCTCATGGTCTTTCCTTACTAGGCTGACTTCCATCCTCAGTTCTTACCAACTTTGTTTTTTTTTTTTTTTTGGTTGGTGGTGGGGCTTGAACTCTGGGCCTGGGTGCTGTCCCTCAGCTCTTCAGCTCAAGGCGAACATTCTACCACTTAAGCCACAGCACCACTTCCAGTTTCTGGTGGTTAATTGGAGATAATAGTCTCAAAAACTTTCCTGACTAGGCTGTCTTTGAACCATGATCCTTAGATCTCAGTCTCCTGAGTAGCTAGGATTACAGGCATGATAAGCCACTGGGACCCAGCAGCTCAACTTCTTGAGTAGCTGGAATTACAGGTGTGAGCCACTGGCACCCCACTATCATTCTTAGGCTTCTATAAAAAGAATTAGCTTCATCATTAATTCTCAATTTTGTATTTGCTCAAAGTTTTGCATGGGAGGTCTCTATCCTTATGAAGAATTGCATGGCTTCCTAGTAAGAATAACATGAGATGGTGGAAAATTAAATCCTGATTTAAAACAACCTCTGTATTTAGTGTTATTTTTTAATGTGCGCCTTTGCAAAAAGCCTCATTGTAATAAAGCACCCAGAGCACGCATCAGCTTGGATACAAGGTATGAAATCAAGCCACAACAGAAAGAGAACCAGTCAACAATTACTAGGCTCATAACCCAGCGCACGCTCTTAGAACACTTAAGAAATTAGCTGGAATTATTGCAGCTCATGGAGGATGACTGAGAGCTTCCACGACTGATAAAGGCTAATGTAATGGGTTGGAGGTAATGGTGCTTTGTTGGGGGGAGGGTGGGGAGGGGAAGGCAAATTATCTCTGCTGCACCCTGGCTCCCAGGATGCCAATAGAGGTAGAGACAGATTGGCTCATTAGGAAAAGCTCTTAACTGCAAGAAGAGTGTCTTCTCTGGAGCCCGGCTCTCCTGCCTGTTGCCGCCATAGCTAGAGTTCGGGCTATCAGCTCTCATGGTAGTCTCTTTATTCCCACCTTGTCCTCTCCCTTCTCCCCCATCCCTGCTTCAGTGTATTCTCCCCATTTTCTTCACTTACTAGCTAGGCTGACCAATTTTTGTCACTTCCTTCGCTGTCCATACATAGGTGTGTGTGTGTGTGTGTGTGACAGGATCCTTACAGCCTAGGCTGGCTGTACTCTTGATCATCCTACCTCCCCCTTCTCAGGTGTGGCGATGCAGCGTGATTGCCACACATGGAACTATTTTTGTGTTCATAGTCGTACACTATCATCTTTCTGGTTTATTATTTCCAGCAATTGTTCTAGAAGATTACCACGATATCAGTAGGAGCTAACAGGGATTGCATTTATTGCATGCCAGGCACTGTGCTAACTGCTTTGCTTGCATTGTTTCATATCATCTTCATCACAGTCCTCTAGTGGGCCAATAGGACATCATGTCTCAGTCAGAAAAGAAGCGAGCCACAGGGCTGGGGATGTAGATTAGTGGTAGAGTTCTTGCCAGGCATGCATGAAGCCCTGGGTTTGATTCCTCAGTACCACATAAACAGAAAAGGCTGAGTGGCTCTGTGGCTCAAGTGGTAGAGTGCTAGCCTTGAGCAAAAGCAGCTCAGGGACAGTGCCCAGGCCCTGACTTCAAGCTCCAGGAATAGCAGGAAAAAAAAAAAGCCAAACACATTATTCTTTTTTTTTTTTTGGTCGTGGGGCTTGAAATTTGGGCCTGAGCGCTGTCCCTCAGCTCTTCAGCTCAAGGCTAGTGCTCTACCACTTGAGCTACAGCACCACTTACGGTTTTCTGGTGGTTTATTGGAGATAAGAGTCTCACAGACTTTCCTGCCTGGGCTAGCTTTGAACCGAGATCCTCAGATCTCAGCCTCCTGAGTAGCTAGGATTACAGGCATGAGCCACCGGTGCCCGGCTCCAAACACAGAATTCTTGCAAACACTCCCACTGAAGGGCTGAGTAGGAAAGGCCCCGCAGTCAACACTGAGAAACAGCAAAATCTGAGAAAGGGAGTGGCTGGGGAGAAGAGTGGCACATTCCTGAAGTCCTGGTACTATGGAGGCCAGGCAGGAGAGTCTTGAGGGGAAAAAAAATCCTAGCTACTCAGGAGGTTGAAATCTGAGGACTGAGGTTTGAAACCAGCCCAGGCAGGAAAGTCCATAAGACTCTAAAACAGAAAAATTTGGGAAGTATAGGTAGGTCTGGCCAAGTGGTAAAGTACCATGCCTAAGCAAAAAAGCTGGGTGAGAGCACAAGGCACTCAGTTCAAGCCTCAGTGAGGTCAGGGTGTTAGTGGCTCATGCATGTGATCCTAGCTAAGGAGGCTAAGATCTGAGAATCTTGGTTCAAAGCCAGCACAGGCAGGAAAATACTTGAGGGCGTTTTTTTTTTTTTTTTTGGGTCCAGTCGTGGGGCCTGAACTCTGGGCCTGGGTGCTGTCCTTCAGCTTTTCAGCTCAAGGCTAGCGCTCTACCACTTGAGCCACAGTACCACTTTCAGCATTTTCTGCTTATGTGGTGCTGAGGAATCAAACCCAGGGCCTCATGCATGCAAGGCAAGCGCTCTACCACTGAGCCACCTTCCCAGCCTCCCTTTTTTTTTTTGGACAGTCCTGGAGCTTGAACTCAAGGCTCTCTGTGCTCAGGGCTAGGGTTGTACCACTTGAGTCACAGCACCACTTCTGCCCTTTTCTGTTTTGTGGGACTGAGGAATCGAACCCAGGGCTTCATGCATGCTAGGCAAACACTCTACCACTAAGCCACATTCTCAGCCCCCATGAGACTCTTATCTCCAAGTAACCACCAGAAAACCAGATGGGTGCTGTGGCTCAAAATGGCAGAGTGCTAGCCTTGAGCAAAAGAGCTCAGGACAGCACCCAGGCCCTAAGTTCAAGCCTCACAACTGAAAAAAGCTAGTTAGGGATGGGGATTTAGCTCAGTAATAGAGCTGTTGCCTAACATGTGCAAGTCTTCAGATCTCAAGCCTCCTGAGTAAGTAGGATTATAAGCATGAGCTACTGGTGCCTGGCTCTAACCTACATTTTAAGCCTCTTATGCACATCAATGTCTGAAGACATTAGACTCAACCTAGACATGTAGTCAGAAGTATTCCCTCTGGCCAGTGTTGCAGGCCTAAAGCCTGCAGTTTACATCCCTAATTTATCAGTGACCTACATGTAAGGAACAGAGAGCTGTGTTTATTTAAACCTTGAGTCCTGTCTACCTAAAGGATCTCTGGTTCTCTCATTTCTTTACCCAGTAGACATGTTCCAGGCATAGTGCTAGGCGACAGAAATGCAGAGACGAGCAGCATGGATGCAACTCCTGCCCTCACAGAGCTTATAGTCCAGTGTGGGGAGGGAGGTAGTAAGCAAGTAAAACAAAATGCTAAGCCTATTAGGAGAGAGAAAGTTCTGTGAATACAGATAAAAGGAGAACTTTGGGCTTTGCAAAGGGCTTTTTGGGAGAGTAATGTTTAAATTGAGGCCTGAATAAAGGAGAGGAAATAGTCATATAGGAGAAGGTTTACAAAAGGGGAGAGGGTTCAAGCAAAGAGAAAAAAAACAACAAAGAAATCTGAGGTGATCCACCAAGTGCACCTTCAATTTAGAGCAGGGATATTTTCAAATCCATTATAACTCTTGTCACTTCAGTGGTGACCAAATCTGTCTTCCTCCCTGATCTTCCTTTAGGGCTTCTACACACAGGCAACTCAAAATTAGCATGTCTCAAACCCAGTTTACCTACCCCCAAAACTTGCTCTATTCCCCATTCACTGAATTCTCTTCCTATTTACCTACCCAGAAATTTGAGAGTCATTCTGGGGCATATAAAGAGAGCCAGGAGTTGGATAAGTAGGTATGGAGTTTAGATTTCAGAGGAAGGTTTGCAGAATCCTCCAATTGGGGTGATTAAGGAATCATGACAATAGAGTTACTGCTCAAGAAGAAACAAAACACAGAGGATGTCGATAGAACACCAACATGTAAGGGAAGGCTCAAGAAGAGGAGAGATGGATATAAAAGCCCAGCACAGCCAGGTGCTGATGGCTCTTGCTTGTAATCCTAGCAACTCAGGAGGCCGAGATTTGAGGATCATGGTTCAAAGCCAGCCTGGGCAAGGAAAGTCTGTGAGACTCTTATCTCCAATTAACCACCAGAAAACCAGAAGTGGCGCTGTGGCTCAAAGTGGTAGAGCAGAGACTTGAGTAGAAAAGCAAACAGGCTCCGAGTTCAAGCCCCAGGACCCATTAAAAAAAAAAGTAAAAAATGAAAACAAAATAAAAATAAAGAAATAGATATAAAGAAAGGGGAAAAAACTCAAGAAGTGCTATTATAGAAACCAAGACAGGGCTTGGGAAGGTGGCTCAGTGGTAGAGTGCTTGCCTTGCATGCCTGAGGCCCTGGGTTCCATTCCTCAGTACCACATAAGCAAAAAGAAAAAGGCCGGAAGTGGCTCTGTGGCTCAAGTGATAGAGCGCTAGCTTTGAGCTGAAGAGCTGAGGGACAGTGCCCAGGCCCAGAGTTCAGGCCCCATGACCGGACCCAAAAAAAAAAGAAAAAAAGAAAAGAAAAAGCTGGAAGTGGCACTGTGGCTCAAGTGCTAGAGCACTAGCCTTGAGCAAAAGCAGCTCAGGGACAGTGCCCAGGCCCTGAGTTAAAGCCCCAGGACTGGCAAAAAAAAAAAAAAAAAGAAAACAAGACATTTCTTGAATCTGAATGTTTTGTGAAGTGGGAAAGGTTGATTGATAAAGGCTACTTAAAGGCCAGGAGAATGAGGAATATAAGGAATTTGAATGTAGTCACTGGTGGTTACAATTATAAAATCACTGGTAACCTGGGGAGAGCTGGGTATATCAGTGGGGTAGAGGGAACGGGAGTCAGCATGCAGCAGGCAGAGAGGAAACAGGGAGAGTCAACCACCTTTTCAACAAGCTCCACCATGAAGAACAGGAGATAGGCACAACTCAGGTTTGAGATGGGAATTTAATTTTATTTCTAGAGGTAGGAAAGATTTCAGCATATATAAATGTTGATGAAAAAAGTTGGTAGCTGGGCGCTGTAATCATAACTATGCAGGAGGCTGAGATCTGAAGATGGTGGTTTGAAGACAGCCCAGGCAGGAAAATCTTAGACTCATATCTCTAATTAACCACCAAAAGACTGGAAGTAGAGCTATGGCTCAAGTAGTAGAGAAGTAGTAGAGTGCCAGCCCTAAGCAAGAGAGCTCAGGGTCAGCATCCAGGCTCTGAGTTCAAGCCAGGACCAGCACACACACACACACACACACACACACACATACACACACAGAGTTGGTAGTGAGGTTAACTTAGGACCAGCACACACACACACACACACACACACACACACACACACACACACACACACACACACACACACACACACACACACACAGAGTTGGTAGTGAGGTTAACTTACAGGACAGAAAAAGTGAAGTCCCAAAGGAGATAGTAGGGAATTCAAACAGAGAATAAAAACAGATTCACCCTACAGAGAAGGAATAGCTTCTTTAGTTCTGATGAGAGAAAAGAAAGATCAGGAGAGAATGAGGACACACAGGTTGGGAAGACAGGGAATCCATAAAGCTCTTGACTTTTGGGATATATTTAGATGTCCTGTTCAAAGATATGACAGAGATTCAAGAGCAAAGCTTCCTCACCATCTCATCTCTCTCTCTCTTTCTTCTTTTGAAGAGTGTCTACTTTTTTTCCCCAGACTGTTCGGTAAAGGATACGTGATTCTGAGCCAGGTGGTCAAACGCACTAGGAACAAGCTGGCTCCCTGGGAAAATTCCTGCTCCAGTTCAGGGGCAGTCTTGCCTTGATTGGATTCAATGAAAATTTTAAGAATGTTATTCCTTGCAGCTTTGCCAGCATTGTCCCACTCCTGCAAAAAACTCAGGAGCCTGCTAATTGCTGCCTGCTCCTTTATAGACGTCATGGCTAATCAGTCCTGAGGCTGCTGCAAAGGGAAGAGAGACAGGTTACCAGAACGTTTAGGATTATGCAAATCTGTAGCCTTGTGGGCTTTGCTTTTCTATTGATTTTCTGGAAACTTGGTGAGCCTCTGACATGTCTATGGGTTACCTGTGAAATCTACCCTAGGGGGCTGGGAGTGTGGCTCAGGGGTAGACTGTTTGCCTAGAATGCACAAGGTCCTGGGTTTGATCCTGAACACTGGAAGTGTAAAAAAAAAAAAAGAAGCAAAAAAGAAAAGAATCATCTATTCCAGAACTAGCCATCTTCTACTTACAGGGAAATTCTAATAAAACTGAGAATATCAAGGCAGTACAGGCAGGTGTAGTGGCAAACACCTGTAACCCAAGCTGAGGCAAGAAGATCATAACCTTCGAGGCCAGACTCAGCTGCACAATGAGACCCTCTTTCAAAAAAGGAGAGTACGGGGGCTGGAAAGGTGGTTCAGTGGTAGAGCGCTTGCCTTGCATGCCTGAGGCCCTGGGTTCGATTCCTCAGCATCACATAAGCAAAAAGAAAAAAGCCGGAAGTGGCGCTGTGGCTCAAGTAGTAGAGAGCTAGCTTTGAGCTGAAGAGCTGAAGGACAGTGCCCAGAGTTCAGGCCCCACAACCAGACCCCCCCCCCCCCCCCCCCCCAAAAAAAAAAAAAAAAGAACAGTACGAAGGTTGTCTACTTTTTTCTTTTAGTATCAGCTAAACAGGTACTCTACCACTAGCCATGCATCCAGCCTCTTCTTGCTTTGGTTATTTTGGAGGTATTCAAGGTAGGCCATCCTGGGCTTCCATCCTCCTTCCTGTGCTTCCCTGAGCCATTAGGGATGACAGGCCCTGGCCACTGCACTAGTCATTGTGCTTCTTCCATACCTTGGATAACAGGTGTGCGCCACTACAGCCAGCTGCTGGATGAAGAGTCTCAAGAATTTTTTGTTTTTTTGGTTTTTTTTTGGGGTCCAGTTATGGGGCCTGAACTCTGGGCCTGGGCGCTGTCCCTCAGCTCTTCAGCTCAAGGCTAGCGCTCTACCACTTGAGCCACAGAGCCACTTCCGGCTTTTTTCTTTTTGCTTATGTGGTGCTGAGGAATCGAAACCAGGGCCTCTGGCATGCAAGGCCAGCACTCTACCACTGAGCTACCTTCCCAGGCCAAATGGTTTGTTTATTTGTTTGTCAGTCATGGGGCCTGAACTCTGGGCCTGGGTATTGTCCCTCAGCTCTTCAGCTCAAGGCTGGCACTCTACTTGAGCCACAGCGCCACTTCCAGCTTTTTCTGCTTATGTGGTGCTAAGGAGTCGAACCCAGAGCCTCATGCATGCAAGGCAAGCGCTCTACCACTGAGTCACCTTCCCAGCCCTGGTAGTCAGCCTTTTTTTTTTGGGTCCGGTCGTGGGGCCTGAACTCTGGGCCTGGGCGCTGTCCCTCAGCTCTTCAGCTCAAGGCTAGTGCTCTGCCACTTGAGCCACAGTGCCACTTCCGGCTCATGCATGCAAAGCAAGTGCTCTACCACTGAGCCACCTTCCCAGCCCCAGTAGTCAGCTTTTTTAAGAGCTAAAGTTTTCTCTGCTAGGACCAGCAACTAGATGATCACAAGTTACAAATGAGAATAAGGTGATTGCTAAAATCCTAGCCCTCTTTTTTCTTTTTTTGGTTGGTCATGGGGCTTGAACTCAGGATCTGTACACTATCCTTGAGCTCTTTATGTTCAAGGTTGGCACTCTACCACTTTGGGCTACAGTGCCACTTCTGGTTTTCTGGAGATAAGGGTCTCACAGATTTTCCTGCCTAGGTTGGCTTTAAACTGTGATCCTCAGATCTCAGCCTCCTGAGTAGCTAGGATTATAGGTGAGAGTCACCAGTGCTTGGCTCTAGCCTTCTCTTATGACTTATTTCACACTAGGTTGGAAATTGGGGTCTTTCACTTTCTTTCTTTTTTCTTTTTTATGTCAGTCCTAGAGCTTGAACTCAGGGCCTGGGTGCTGTCCCTGAGCTTTTGTGCTTAAGGCTAGTGCTCTAGCAATTGAGCCACACTTCCACTTCTGGCTATTTGTTGGCTACTTGGGAAATAAAAATTTCAAGGACTTCCTTGACCTTGCTGGCTTTGAACAGGGATGCTCAGATCTCAGTTTCTTTAGTAGCTACGATTACAGGTGAACCATTGGTACCTGGCTTGAAATTGGTATTTTTTGTTTTTTGTTTTTTTTTTGTCGTCGTGAACTTTGGACCTGGGCGCTGTCCCTCAGCTCTTCAGCTCAAGGCTAGCGCTCTACCACTTGAGCCATAGCACCACTTTCAGCATTTTCTGCTTATGTGGTGCTGAGGAATCGAACCCAAGGCCTCATGCATACAAGGCAAACACTCTACCACTTAGCCACCTTCCCAGCTCCGAGATTGGGGGTGGGGGGTCTTTAATGACTCAGTTCCCCCCTCCTGCTAAAGTGCTGCTTAACCTTGTATGTAGAGCTTTTACACTAACTCTTCAAAACAACTTAAAAAAAGTTAGTGGGAAGAAAAACTTCATATTGTATAGTTGGGTTAATGGGCTGTGCTTTGTAGGAGTCTATGTCCTTGGGAATGTTTTCAGTGGGGGAGGGAAGGTTTAAAATAAACCCGTTTTCCAAAAATAGTTGTGATTGAAAGTGTTATTATCCATAACAAATGTTAGTCAGTGCTGATGGGAGAAAGGCGTGTGCGATTCTTTTGTCTAACAGACAAGTGAAAGTCATATTTCACATTACCATGGGGTTTTCTGTGATTTACAGAATATTTGTGAAACATTACTTGCAAAGGCCTTGATTGATATGGAGAGAACAGCTTGTGTGTAGGGGAGATGTGTATTTCACAAAGACTGTTCAACATGAAATTTACAGTCCCATAAAGTGCTTCTACATCTTCGCCAGAGATCTAGTTAAAAGGACTTTACAGTCTGAAACATCCGAAAATTGATTCTAAATTAACGTTTCCTCGCATGTATTTGAGATATTGATGGGGCCCAGCTATCAGGATTTTATTAGGAAGTAGGAATCTGAGGCATGCTGAGACAGACAGACAGACAGACAGACAGACAGACAGACTGGGATACACATCCACCTCCACTGCCTCTCAGACGACACTCGGGAAGGGCATCCCACACAGCTAACCCCAGGAAGGTAGACAACCACACCATCCTGTCATCCTTAACAACTAGGTGGGCAACGGTGACCAACATAAATGCAAAAATGACTAAAGCCTCTTCTGAAATGATGCCATCAATCACAGGAATGTCATTATGGTCACAAGTATGAAAATAACTTTCAGAGGCCATCACCACCTTTAATAGCCAGACTAGCCTCAAAAAAAATGGGGATGGATAGCTAGCTATTCTAGATGGTGGGGAGGAGGAGGCTGACGTGCCAGCATTAGCTTTATCAGGATGGATTGTTCCCAGGGTCAAACCTCAAAACCCTATGAGAGATACAACCAGCAATTCCAGGACACCAAAGGCAGGAAACACTAGGCAGGATGCTCCATACACACTGTGGCCCCTTGGACCTGAATCTTCCTCTACTACATGAGTGCACCACTATTCCTGGTACACATCTTTTTCTTTTGAAACAGAAAAATTATGCTAGGTGCCTGTGGCTCATACCTATAATCCTAGCTACTCAGGAGGATCAGAGGATCATGGTTTGAAGCCAGCATGGGCAGACAAATCCACGAGACTCTTATCTCCAGTTATCCAGTCAAAAGCTGGATGTGGAGATGTGATTCAAGTGGCAGAATACCATCCATGATTGGAAGAAGCTAAGTAAGACTGCAAGGTCCTGAGTTCAAGCCCCAGGAATAGCACACATATGCCCACATCTAATCACACACAAATAAAAAAACAAGTGTCTGATTTTCTTTCTTTCTTTCTTTCTTTCTTTCTTTCTTTCTTTCTTTCTTTCTTTCTTTCTTTCTTTCTTTCTTTCTTTCTTCCTTTCTTTTCTTTCTCCCTCCCTCCCTCCCTCCCTTCCTTCTTTTTGTTATTCATGGGTTTGAACTGAGGGCCTGGGTGCTATCCCTGAGCTTTTTTGCTCAAGGCTTCCACTTTACCACTTGAGCCACAGCTTCACTCTGGCTTTTCTGGTGGCAAACTGGAGTAAAGAATCTCATGGATTGTCTTGCTCAAAGACTGGCTTCCAACTGCAACCCTCAGATCTCAGCCTCCTGAGTAGCTAGGATTACAGGGGTGAGCCACCAGTGCCTGACAGGTTTTCTCTTTTGGTGATGGTTCTAGGTATGGAACCCAGTGTCTTTTTAGACAAGTGCTCAGCCCCTGAGTTCTATCTCCAGCACTAGTGGCAGCTTTCAATATGAAAGGAAGCCAAGGGGCTGGGAAGGTGGCTCAGTGGTAGAGCACTTGCCTTGCATGCTCGAGGCCCTGGGTTCGATTCCTTAGCACCACATAAGAAAAAAGCCGGAAGTGGCGCTATGGCTCAAGTGGTAGAGCGCTAGCCTTGAGCTGAAGAGCTGAGGGACAGTGCCCAGGCCCAGAGTTCAGGCCCCATGACCGGACCCCCCCCAAAAAAAAGGAAGCCAAATCAGTGAGGCCCCAAATGAATTTACCATGTCCTCACACTGCCCTGGCCCTCTGACGGTCTGATTTCAGTGACTGGATCACCGTTCTCCTAGCCAGCAGTCCTGGACTAGCCCTCTTCAGCTAACCTGCTAGTTGCCAGTTTCTGCCAACTATAGCTCCTACAGTTCCCTGTTTTACTCTGTATAGTTATATCTGCACTGCCACTACAGTGCTAGATTTCAGACCTAATCCCCCAGTCAAGATTCCAATGCTCCTAATTCCTTTAGGAGGCTAACCCCACCCTAAGTGTCACAGAATTGAGATTCTTAGATTTCAGCCTCCTGAGTAGCTAGGATTACAGGCACTAGACACGGATGCCTGGCTCAATTCTTCTTTTTTTTGTCAGTCATGGGGCTTGAACTTGGCCTGCATGC